ATAAGATTTAATGTATTTTCTTATAATTAGTGCCCTTTATAGCAATGAAGACATCTATCTATTAGACGATCCGTTAAGTGCTGTCGACTCTGAAGTCGCGAATCATATCTTCGATAAGTTTTGAATTTTTATTAAATGATTTTTTAAAACAATTATTATTTCAGATGTATTTGTGATTATCTAAAGACAAAAACAGTGGTATTAGTCACACATCAGATCCAATTCATACAAAAGGCCACAAAAATCTTGGTTCTCAAAGAGGGTCGGAGTCTAGCGTTTGGAACGTATGAAGAATTACTCGATTCTGACATTGATTTCATGTCTTTGATTTATGACAACAAATATAAAGACAATGAAAACAATGAAAATGATGTGTCAGTTGATAGAAATGCATTTAAAAGAGAAATATCTGTTTATTCTCAGGTATTATATAATATTTCTTTATACCGGTAAAAGTAGTTAGTATAATATTTTTCATTTATTTTGATAAACTATTAATTCATTAAACTATTAAATTTGATGATCTAACACGATAAACTATGAATTAACTATTATCTATTGTGATAATTTTGATGTTTTTTAATGTAATTATACTGAAGGCTAGCGACAAAAAAGACGAATTTATTGCAGAGGAATATAAACACAAGGGTTCAGTGGATGGGAGAGTGTATTGGTATTACCTGAAGTCTGGCGGCAGCTATTTATTGGCAATATTTATAGTATTGTCAGCTCTTATCTCTCAAACATTAATCAGTTACAAAGATCTCTATCTTTCCAACTGGTACAGTATTACTACTGCTGTTAATAATTACTTAATTCATAACATAAAACTGTATTTTTTATGGACATACTCTACCATAGGGTGACTCAAATGGAGAGAAAGAACTCATCAAATGATGAGAATGGTTCCAATGGTTCCAATGAATCCGCAAATATTGTCATATATTCAGTATTAATAGCGTTGGTATTCATTGGATTCCACTAGGCAAGCGAGTGAAAGAAATGTAAAACATATTTCAGAAGTTGGTTAAATGTATTAGCGTATAAGTCAGCTAATTACTCTCGTGGGCAGAGAAAGAAACTGTGGTTAGGTTAACCATTAAGTTTTCATAATATATTCTTGCTTGCTTAGTTATTGTTTCATTTTTAGGTCGAGTATTAAGTAGGTTTATATTCAGTCGATTAATTAGAGCACCCGTCTCTTTCTTTGACACCAATCCAATTGGTAATTCAATTCATAATATATTCTTGCTTGCTTAGTTATTGTTTCATTTTTAGGTCGAGTATTAAGTAGGTTTACAAAAGATTTGGTTACAGTCGACGAGCATATACCAAACTGTTTGTTTAACCTGAATATTGTAATTATTTTCATTTTACTATAGGTTATTACATTTATAAGTAACCTTTTGCACACATATAGGACATATTGTATCTGGTGGCTATATTTATCGTGGTGGCCGTGGTTAGCATTTACTCGATTATTCCGGCAACTCTTATGATTATATTGATTTCATTCATACGATATGTTTATATGAAAACAGCCAGAGATTTGAAACGCTATGAAAATATATGTAAATATTATATTTGATATAATTTTAATTACAGTACATTTTACCGAAATACCAATAAATTAAGAGACAATCATTTATATGAAATGAATGTTTAAAGTGCAGAGTCCGGTGTTGGACCACTTGACCACAACTCTCAATGGTTTGGTTACTATCCGTGCGCTCAGAGCTCAACAGTATTGCCTCCAAGAGTTTTATGACTTACAAGACAATCATACGTCCAGTTTCTTCATGAATTTGTGCGCCAATAGGGCTTTCGGTAATTATATTATAATTTATTTATTAATTTTATTTTAACACTTTATCGTATTTTTCAATTATAGGCCTTCTATTGGAATGCATATTCTTATTATATCTCGCCAGTGTGGTTACATTTATAATGATATTTAGTGATAGTATGTCAATTATAAGCCTTTAAGGCAAATTAAAATATATAGCTTATTATAATTCATTTGTAGAATATTCAGGAATTTAATAAGTGTTATAACTTATACCATAGCTATCAGTGGGGGAACGGCTGGTCTCATACTCTACCTAACCATTGGTCTGTCAATGAATATACAGATGACTATCAGAAATACCGCAGATTTGGAGAATCAGATGACATCAGTTGAACGGATCCTCGAATACAGTGAACTCGAGTCGGAAGAGTCCCCTAAAGAGGCGGACAGTCGTCTCAATGTATCCCCCGATTGGCCACTCGAGGGAAGCATTCATTTCCAAGACGTTTGTCTCACTTATGAGAACTCAACGAATGAGACGTTAATTGAAATCAATTGTC